AAAAAAGGAGAAAAATAAACAACAGTACTTTTAGAGGCCCATCAATTTTGTTAAAGAAGATAAATATTTATTGGCCCAATCGGTATTTTTGAGGTGTGTCATTACTTTTAAACCTTTATTTGCCAATCGGCAAAAACAGTAAAGAAAAAATATTAATATGATTAGCTGAATGATTTTCAATAGGGACTTCTAATCCCTTTCCGGTCTTCATTAGATCCTAAACTACTGTTATATCGTATTTTCTGCACAGTCACTATAGGCTGCCAAGAAGATATCAAAATAAATGAAAACGACATGCATTGTCAATGACGTACCTAAGTGGGAGGGGGCAGGGGGCACGTGCGCCGAGCGGCATTTGAAGGCATGCAAAAATGCAGAGAGGGCAGCAGCCCCCCCCCCCCCCACCATCAGTCCAAGTCACCCTAGTAGTTTAAACTGGACTGAGACTTTGATTTACAAGTATAACTACTCCAGATTTTCAGAAATATTAATGACCGCGGTTAGAGCTGTGGTCTAGTCCGGCTTATTAGAGCCCCTCTCAAGTATTGGGAGCCCCATAACCTTGATGTCAAAATGTCACTTAAAATGTATCATAATGTGTTTGAAGTCGAATATTGATGAAAGAGAACAAATTTTAGGTACAACAGAAAACCCAAATGATGTATTTTTTAATCAATATTTGTCTTCAAACACATTGGGGGGGGGGAAACCTGTGCAGAAGTGTGTCTTAAATGTCATCCTATTTTACGTCAGCATACAAATCAAGTGAAATTTTTGGCAAATTTGGGGCTCCCAAACACTTTGGAAGGGCTTTTTAAGTCGAGAGGGTTGCGGCGCGTTGGTGCTAAAACGAGTAGGACAAGTAAGAAAGATTCATTAAAATACAACAGCTTTTAAATTCTTGGAAACGGAGGAACTTGACATTTAAAGGGAAAGTAATTATCTTAAAAAGCCTTGTTATTTCAAAATTGATTTATACAGCTCAAGTTTTATCATGCCCTATGGAATGGATAAAAGCGTATGAAAAGTTCTTTTATAACTTTTTATGGGGTAATAGAGCAAAAGTGAAAAAAGAAAACATGATAAATACTCTTCAAAATGGAGGCATGAATATGGTCGACATGTGTACGCAATTTATGTCTTTACAAATAAAATGGTTGTTTAGCTTCTTAAGTTTTAAAGAAATCCAAGAAAAGAAAGGGAAGTGGATAATTTTTTTTGAGTATTGGATTGAAAAACTGGGAGGGATTGATATTATTATGAACTGTAAATGTTTACCAAAATATGTGACTTCTTATAGAGGGAAAATACCTGATTTTTATTGTGACTTACTTTGTACATGGTTTACTGTAAAGCAAGTTAATTATGTAAAAGATATACACCACACCTATGGAAGTGTTACAAAAGAAATGATTTGGTTAAATTGTGATATCAAATTTAAAGGAAAAGCATTGTTGTATAAAAATTGGATAAAATCGGGTATATTATTTTTAGGGGATATAGTGATAGGAAATAGATTTTTGACAGTCAAAGAATTGAAAGATAAACTTATCTATTATGATGGTAGATGGTTGAGTGAATATGCAAAAATAAGAACCGCAATACAACAAAGATGGAGGCGAATCATAAAATATGGCGAACAAGTTTATGATTTCAACGATTACAAACGTAAATCAGTTATATACTCAAATTTGAATTTAAATTGTTTTGAATTTTCAATACACTCTATTACTGTGAAAAAAGTATATACGGAACTCATAAAATTAATCCAAAAACCATCTAGGGCGGTAGACTTCTGGAACAAAACCTTACAAACAAATGTTATTATAAAGTGGGACTCTTTATGGTTATTTAAATTGAAATATGCTCGTGATAATTATTTGATACAATTCAAATTTAAATTTATGTATAACATTTTACCAACACCTGTTAATTTATTCAAATGGAAAATCAAAGAAAACAATTTGTGTTACTACTGTAATAAACCTGGTACTATTATACATGTATTTTTTGAATGCGAAAATATTTACCGATTTTGGATCGTTATCGAAATATTATTATGTAACTCCTTCTGTAAAGATTTTAAATTCTCACCCATTTGTGTTTTTCATGACGCAAAAGAAAATGTTATAGATATTGACCTAATACTTCATTATGCTTTATTTGCAATCTGTAAAGCGAGTGTTGGAAGTCAATTTAATAAAAATGTAGTGACGAGAATAATAAGCAAATATTTTTTGTTTATGTTAGAATACAAAATAGAAGTTGAGGAAAACAGAACTAAAACAACGAATCTGAATATTATTAAGTGGAAGGAAACTATAACTAATTTAAAATCTGCTATTAAGTAAATAGAAATATAATTTGATTTGACCTCATTTAGACATGTGATTCAGTGATTTGTTATGAATATTTATGTACTATGATGTTATCCATGATTTTACCTGAATAAAGATTTATTTCAACAACAAAAAAAGTAGGACAAGTACCCTCCTCATAATTCACAGTTGAGTTTTCTATTGATGTCTAATTTTGGTATTTAAATCTTCACAACAGCATAATATAAAGCCGATTAATCTTAGCGACAAATTTGACAAACGTACCTCAATTTTTTCGTCTTGTCTACATCCATGTATTATGAAATTTAAATTGTATATACGTGATATTTCAATCTGATGTATCAAAATGAAGAGTATATATCCGATGTGTGAAAGTGCTCAGATCAGAAGGTCACCAAAGTACAGTAACATAGACCAACAAGGTGGTGGCCTTGGGGGCTATAATCCCCCCCCCCCCCACCGGAGAATTTGCAAAATAAGTGTAATTATTCGGGCAGCGATGTGCCCGAAAAACCAAATAGCCTCAAATTCGGGCGGCAAGATACCCTAATATTTTCATGTTTGGGCAGTTAGGGGCCAGAACAGGACGGTAATTGTTGATGACGAAATAAGGCATTTCACCGTGATAAAATGTCACTTTGTTTAGAAAATATAGAAAGTAAAATTTAATATTCGGGTAAGAGGCCTAAACCAATCCAGATGACATGTGTCCGCTCGCATAATGTTTAGTAAAGTATAGTTATATCGACTCAATTAAATACCTAACAAAATTTGTTTCGATCTTGTTGAGAACGAAATGATTTGTTTATTTATTAATAGTAGTCGAAAGTGTGTACTTTTATTCAATTTGCCGTATATTTGTATGTAATGTCTAATGTTTGTATATCACGATCATGAATTATATGCTGATTTGTCAGGTCGTTAAGATCCATTTGCAATAAATGTATATTTTATTACAACAATAAAATACTGTTTCTCTCATGTTTCTCGTCACTATCTTCACTATTCTCACAATCGTCATCATTAAAATCATCATCAACATCATCATCAACATGATCATCAACATCAACATCACTTTTATTGTAATGATGGCCATCCTCGTACTATTTCTTTTCTTTTCTCATTTTTTCTTCCATCGTTTTCTCTTTCTCCCATTTCTATTTTTAAAGGCCGCCAAAAATGAAGGGCCGCAGCTCATTCGCCCCCACCCCCCCCCCCCCCCCATCCCTACTCCGATCTGCCGGTGATGTATACGTTGTTGCAGGCAATACGAATAACTTGCGCTGGGATTCGGTTTCCCTTATATTTAATACGTTGCCTACCTGTTACTCAGAGTAGCAATTTTTATATTAGTAGTATATCTTACTTCCCCTTCTTTCTTTCTCTCTTTCTCTTCCTCTCTTCTTGGCTTATACTTTTCGTTTGCTTTTTTAGGCCGCCATAGAAAGGGGGCCCTGGCTGATTCGGCCCTCACCCAGATCCGCCACCGTTTCTTAAGCTTAGCAAATAAAATGATAAAATAGTGACATTCTTTCACTTTTCAGGATTTCTTGCATTCCTTTTTTTTTTCTTCTTCTTTAAATTTCCTTTAAAGATACTATGTCCCTTTTGCAGCCAACCTCAAATATTGTAGAACTTTGCAGGAATTATGGATATGTCACGTATGTCCTATCTGTGAAATTTAAACGTTAGCAATGTCCTAATATTCAAATTATCCAAGGAAACCCGTTTACTTGCTAGACTTCACTGTCAGACACTATTGCCAGTATTGAGTGAGTGACTGGCTTTTTTCTTCTTTGGTAATAATTAACATTCATAAAATGAGCTGTAAAGGATTTGTCTACATCAATAACCTACTTCTTGTAATGACCAAAATTAAACTGATTGAATCTTTGCGCAGCATAAAACGTACGACCATTCGGTACAATGGTCTGAAAATCAAGACTATTACTTAGTGGCTCTATAGCTCCTAAGTCAATTTGGCAGGTAATAGTCGTTATTTTCCCACTTAAAGACATTTTCAAGCCCCCCTCCCCCCTTTTTTTTAAGGGGAGTTCTAAATTAGTATTATCTTTCAAAAGCCATTGGAATTTTAACCTTTTCATTTTTTGGCCTGCAAATGGGACACAGTACCTTTCAAGGGAATAGGTAAAATTGTTGAAGGTTGATGGAAAAACTGCCTTATTTGTGTATGTAACTTTACTTATTATTTCTTCTACTGTCCTTACCTTCTAACATGCAAAAACTCCTGAAAAAAATCTCAAACCACAAGATATTTATGATTTTATTTGAAGGCTTCACTGTGCAACACCATCTTACAGTAAATTTTCCCAACCATTTTTGAATTTTATATCGGCATTTTGGTTTTAATCATATAAATCATAATAAGTGCGTGCTGACTTATCCATAGTACAGTGACTGTATAAGTGCTAGCTAGTTGTTGTCTATATCAGCCCCCCCCCCCCCCCGCCCTCCCCTTCTGGCCAGCATTTCCCGTCCCCCGTACGCATCTGAATGCATGCATTGCTCTTTTTGACACAGCAGTTGTCAGAACAATATATGAAGTCAACGAACTGGTGCAACGCAAGCTGGAAGAGTGAGTAGGAAATAACAAAACCACCGGTCACGACCTGAAAGCAGTATACGTGTATACAAATTGTGTCCATATCCATGCATGTATGAACGGAAGGTATATATACAGAAAATCAGATACGCCCTAAAAGAGGAACTGATCAAGGAAAGAAAATGGAGTATACAACCCACCGAGTCTGAAGAAATCAAACCGATCGGACGGTAAGTTTAAAGTCATTTGTAATTTGCGACTGATTGGGTGAGGAATGAGTGGGAAACATTCGATTTTAATCAACTTTAAAGAAATCATAAAGTCTGTCAAAAAGTTGCTCTGTTTGTGTTCTGTGGCATAAACCCAGTAGCCTAGCTGTAATGCACGTGCATACAAGTGTGGATCTGTTTCCGCTATGACTTGTTCACTTCCACGTAGAGTGATTTACGCAGGCCATCCGGATTTGGCATTTATAGTTAAAAATTATTCGAAAAATTAAATTCAATATGTCTTAATTGTGAAACAATAATGACATATGAACAATGGGGTCATGAATTTGGTTCAAATACATATTGGAAGCATATGCGATCCTACAATATTCAGTGATCGTTGTCGCTGTTGAAATCGAGTCTACAGTTATGAAATTGTAAACTCTTTATGTTGTATAGCTCCTTCTCAAGGTCAAGATATTAATTAAACAATGTTTCTTGACTAAAAATCGACCGATTAGCTATTCCCGTTTGGAAACTATATATCACAACTACAAATTCTGAGATTTTCATGGTCGCAGCTACCATTGTACGGCCGTAGGCGCTATTTGAAATGCTCCCGGTAAAATTGTATATTCAATTTTACCCAAAAGCAGAAGTGTTTCAGGGGCTAACTTTTCTAGTGCTTATAATACATCCACAGGGGCATCCAAATATATCAAAATTGTAAAGAATCACTTTCTACCCAATTTTCAAAATTTCCCAAAACTTTGTATTACCTTTAAGGGCAGCTATAATCGTTAACAAGCAAGTGTATACATATATAAAAAGGAAGACAAGTAAAGTAAAAGGTAAAATAAAAGGTAAAACGAAAGGGGATGGGGTTGAGCCCAAGTCATTTTCATAACAGGTAGAAGGAAAGATGTCTCCTAAAGGATTAACTCGATGTTTTCAATCTAATATCATTTGGGAGATCATTCAACAGCTTTTTTCCCTACAAATGAAATAAAATTATCCTTGCGTTGTCTTACAGTTTGGTTGATAGAGTAAGCCACTTTATTTTCTCATTTTGGCATAGCTGTGCTGTTTCATCTGACAATTATCGACTAAAGAGTGTGGTAATACACCTTTTACCAAATCATACATAAATGGTGATACATGAAGTTCATGAAGTTTAAACATATTTAATATTTCTAGACTTTGAAAAAGAGGTCTGGAGTCTGTTCTAAGTGGACTGAATGTAATGATTCTCATTGCCACTTTTTTTTACTTAAATATATATAATTTAGATTACTTTTGTAAGTGCTCCCCCAAACTTCTTCTCCATCAGAGAGGTGAGGCTGTATAAAAACCCTTATATAATAACACAAGTACATTCTTGGGAACAAAGTGTCTCAGTTTAAACAGGATGCCTTATTTCTTCCGTATGCATTTTTTTATTGTCTGAACATGTTCTTTCCATGAAAGGTGACAATCAATTTCAATCCCTACAAATGATGCTACGGATCTATTGATCTACCTTCGGCTTTCAAAATCATATAGCTTGTTTTCTGTAGGTTAATTGTGACTTTATTTGCCTTGCACCATTCCTGCACCTTCATTCAATTTTCATTTACAATTTCGTTTTGTTTAGTATGAAAAGTATGAAATAGATTCGAGTCATCAGCAAATATTCTGAAATTGAAAAGGTTTGTGCGGTACGGTAAGGCATTTATATATATATATATATATATATATATATATATATATATATATATATATATAGTTAAAATAATGTTGGTCCAAGAAGGGAACCTTGAGGGACACCACATGTTATATTCAATTCTAAAGACATTTTGTCTTTATATTGTATAAACTGTAATCGTTTACACACATAATCTGCATACCATTGCAAGGGTAACCCATGTATTCCACAGTGTGACATTTTTTGAGGAGAATGCTGTGGTTTATAGTACCAAATGCCTTTTGAAAGTCAATAAAGATGCCTACGGTTGTTTTACCTTCATCGTAATATTTCAAAAGTAAAGGTGCAAGATTAACTCAATGCTGAATTAGTGCTATGTTTCTTACGGAAACCAAACTGGTCGAAACAAGATATTATTCAATTACACGATTATTTATTATTTTCTCAAAGATTTTGCCCAGTATGGGTAAAACTGAAAATAGGTCTGTAATTAACAGCTAGATCATTTCGTCCCTTTTAATAAATAGGTGTCACTTTTGCTACCTTCAGAGCGTCTGGAAATTTACCTCTTTCTATGGAAAGATTGAAAATATATGTTAATGAGCTTGAAATGTATAGAGCAGCATCTCCCAACAACCTTGCAGACAAATTATCATATCCAAATGCTTTTTTTTAAATCTAAAATCTGTTAGTGGCATTTATATTTCATTCCCTGTTATTGTTTTTTTAAATAGTGAGTTTTCTGTTCTATATCCTAAATATTTTTAAAGTCAGGATTCACTGATGGTATTTCCTCTGCCAGCTTTGGACCTATGTTTACCAAAAGATTATTGAATTCGTTAGCTATTTCATTGTCAATCGTTATCACTATATTTTCTCTACCACCTGCAGTTGATAAGTTCGCTAGATTGGTCACTTATTAATGACATTTCCACCACTCAACTACTCGGTGATGGTTTTCCACGCATTTTGTAGATGTGAAGTTAGATCATTTGTTGTACCTTTTGTATTCTATCCCATCTTTTATTTGATATTTTTGATGCTTTTAGTTTAGAATACTACTTGTGCTTCTTGTTGATCGATTTTAAAAGAGCACTAGTCATCCATGGTATTCTTCCTGTATTCCCCCACCCCCCCCCCCCCCTCCCCCTTTTCAGGTCCTTCGAAGTTGATGACTTAAATGGTGCATGCTTGTCACAGACTTGCGTAAACGAGTCGTAAAATACAGATTATAACTCATTTAATTATGTACAACCACTTACTTTATTCCAATCAATTGTACCTAGATCACCATGAAATTTATTAATATCATAACTTCTGAAGGTACGAAAAACAGACTTTGTGTGTCTTATTTTACTTGCCTTCGTAAGATGCTCAAAGGAAACAAAGATAGGGAAATGATCTGATATATCAGTTTCTATCCAGCGTGAATATGAAAAATTGTTATATTAGTAAATGGACAAATAGTCAATAAGAGAGGAAGTTCTTTTAGTTACTCTTGTTGGTGAAGTGATCAGTTGCTGCATACCAAAACATTGCAAAGACGTTGAAAATTGTTAGGCTTTCATATCTACTCCTCCCTTGTGTAGTACATTAATGTTAAAATCTCCAAGTAATACTACATTTGCTTAGTCAATTTTCAATCTTTCCAACATTACCAACAAGGAGTTTTTAAATTGATCAATTTCAGTATTGGGCTTGCGATAAGTAATACCTACAGTAATTTTCCTACCATTTAGGCCAGTTTCTAACCAGAGACTTTCTGTGTGAGTCACTTCATTGATAAGAATAGGATAGTTTAAATAAAGAGTGAATGTTAGCTAAAACTACATCACCCCCTTAATCCTGTTTGTCTGATCCCCTTCTATTTGTATGCCTCTGTTACGAAGTAGCCGGAGGCATTATGTTTTCGGGTTGTCCGCCCGTCCGTCCGTCCGTCCGTCCGTACGTCACGTTCTTGTGATCGCGTTATCTGAAGAACCGATTGATGGATTCCTGCCAAACTTTGGTCATGTAAGTATCTTGCAGAGCCGATGAACTGGTTCGATTTTGGGGGTCACGAGGTCAAAGGTCAAAGGTCACATGGCTCATTATGTATGCAAAAACAGCTCGTGATCGCGTTATCTCAAGAACAGATTGATGGATTCCTGCTTAACTTAAATCATGTATGTATCTTTCAGAGCCAATGAACTGAGTAGATTCTTGGGTCATGAGGTCAAAGGTCAACTGTCATGGGCTCATTATGTATGCAAAAATAGCTTGTGAACGCATTCTCATTAGAACTGACAACTGGATTACTATTTAACTCAGGACATCTTACAGAGCCAATGAACTGAGTAGATTTTAGGGTCATGAGGTCAAAGATGAAAGGGTCATATATGTATATGAGAAATTGCTTGTCATCACGATATTCTGAGAACCTGTTAATGGATTACAATGAAACTTCTTCTGTTTTGGTTTCTAAACTTGCTCTATGACGGAGGCATCATTTCGACTGCGCGCAGTCGAAGTTCCATCTAGTATAGTATTAATGACTGCTTTGAGAGAAATAGTTGTTTTATTACGCTCAAGGGAAGGTTAGAATTGTGCTATTCCCCGAGGCTTGCCGAGGGGAATAGCCCAATTGTAACCTTCCCGAGAGCGTATGAAAACAACTATTTCTCGAATATTAAAGCAGTCATTAATACTTTTATATGCCGAAAAAAAATAGACTAAAAAATAAAAAATAAAAAATACTTCTTTTTTTTGTCGAAGGCGAGAGTCGAACTCTTGCGTACAATGAGTGATGAATCTTGCACCAGCGCCTTACACCACTCGGCCATCGCGCGCTGTTCACATGCTTGGCAGTTTTGTACAATATATACATTCAAATGGATTGAAACCGGCTTCGGCGTGATGAATGCTTCGCAAAAGCACCCTTCTTTTACTTTTGCAATGCATATTGGCACGAACTTAGATCAAGATCTATCGGCAGATGTTGTTTTTTTGTTTTTGGAAGTTTATTTTCGTCTTCATGTCAACAATGCAAGATAAAATTGTCGGTAAGATCGATCGAGATTCAATTGTATTGAAATTACCGACCAATCCTTCGCACACATACGGTATCCTCGATCGCTCAAACCATTTTTTAACATGTAAACCTATGGGGTAACCATGGAGGCTGACCTATTTTTTTAATAACCATGGTTATTAAAAATATTAAATGTTTTATGCATGGTTACCGGGAATTTTACAGGAACAGTTGAAGTTTATGAATGCAATTCGACCAATCAGATGGCTGGATTTCTTAAGTGAGGTATATAATTTCTACTATTTCTATTATCTCTACTTTCCTTGTTTAATATATTTTTAAACTTGTATTTAGATTAGGTAATTTGTATTTATTCTTTGTGAATAATTTGTAATTATTATTGATGCTATTTTTGCAATGTTGTCTTCTTTTGTACAAGGACTAATAATCATTTCCCACCGTATTGAAGAGATGCCAACCCTGCCCAATTTTCAGTGAGGTTCCCTGAATTTGTGTATTTTTGGAGTAAACGTCACTCCACACAAATTTTAACGCCTCCCCGATTTTTTGACAGATTATTCGTATTATGGTGCATGCAATGGATAGAAATCTCCCTGATTTCTGAATGTATTCTCCCTGAAAGCTGAGTATGAAGGTTGGCAAATCTGGTATTGAACTACATAATAAACAATCAATCAAGCAAACAAATCGAACGTACGAATGGTCCTTTTCCGATTATTGTCACTCCTCTACCGTCCACTTCCCCTCTTTTTCAGTAGGCCTAATTCTAGTTTCAAGTTTCAATAAACACTTATTTCCTTCTCAAAAGCAAAATGAACATCATGGAATACAGTGCGTCCCAGAAAAAAACATGTCTTCTCTGTGCATGGCGGTTCGTCAAAGAAACGGGGTTAAGTCTTTTGTCAACTATATTTGTTGCTACGGCAGGCAGCCAGTGAAAACGAATATTCGTTTAGTCAACTATGGGAATGCAAGCCTTACTTTAAACAAACAGAACTTTGTTATTCCTTGCTCATTTTTCCTGATTAAGGTGTCATATGAAAGGACAGAAAATGTACTTTCTAGAAATGTGATTTTCTCTTTGAAATTTAGATACTGCCCGCCAAATGACTTTTTGGTTTCCTCTCTTCAATTTCTTTTAAATCACTCATGCGTTAAATATTTATCATATGAAAGAGGAGGATCTTAGCTTTACAAATATGTGTCATTCATTAATTATAATTGTGATTAAGTTATGATACGTTATGATTTCTGGTACGCACTGTATATATTTACAATGTTAGGCAGAAAGCAGGCTAAATTTCCTGGAAGCACAGGGCTAATATGGTGGGTTCGCCATAACAAAACAGACTTATAATACATATAAACGGAGTCGGGCTAACTCGGACCAGGGGACAACTCTGTCCCAATGCAAAAACGGTCAGTTATTAGGTAAGGATTAGGGTTTATGATTAGGGTTAGGGTTAAGGTAAAATGACAAATCAATGACCGTTTTTTTTAATTGAGGCCGAGTAGTCCCCGGGTCCGAGTTAGCCCGGATTAATATAAACTACATAATACACTAAAAATCACAATCTACATAAATTAATACTAAAACAAAATAGAGAGAAGTAAAAAATGTGTAAATGTAGATCCCATTATCGACAGGGGACCACTTTTTTTTGTAATATATTTTTGTTTTTGTAATGAGACATACCCCCTAAACTGACTATTTCCTTGTGCATCTCTGTAGGTATCTTTTTATCATTCACTTAATTTTTTTCATAATATTATATGTGATCCTTTACAGACCTTTATGAAACTAAATATTCTTCGCTTCCTAGTAAAATCCTCAAATAAATGTAACACACAAGCTGAGACCAATTTTATCAAAAGAAGCTTCATGCTTGCCTTAAAGGTAATACAAAGTTTTGGTATGGGGTCATGTATTCGGTTCAAATGAACATTATTGGAAACATATGCGATCCTACAATATTCATTGATCGTTGTCGCGGTTGAAATCGAGTCTAAAGTTATGAAATTGTAGATAATAAACTCTTTATGTTGTATAGTTCCCTCTCAAGGTCAAGATATTAATTAAGCTATAAAACAATGTTTCTTGACTAAAATCGACTGATTGGTTCCCGTTTGGAAATTATATATCACAACTACATATTCTGAGAATTTCATGGTCGCAACTACTATCGTACGGCCGTAGGTGCCATTTTAAATTTATCAAAATTTACCGGGAAAAAGTTGTATATTCAATTTTACTCGAAAACAAAAGTGTTTCAGGGGCTAAATTTTCTAGTGCTTACATGTATAATACATCCACAGGGGCATCCAAATATATCAAAATTGTAAAGAATCCCGATCTACCCAATTTTCAAAATTTTCCAAAACTTTGTATTACCTTTAAAGTCTACAGTGATCTTACATTCGTATACAAATATGTACAAGAGAGTTTCAACAAGGGTCTTACAATCAGTACACAATTCAGTGTCTGACCCAATACTTTGTTACAATGTTTTTATGATAGTTTAAAATATTTATTCAAATTAGTGTGTTCTTTTGTTGTGGAATTTCGTTGTATTTTCCAATTAGGGACAATTATGGGAACTTTGTCCCATTTCATCTCGGTTACATGTACATTGCGTGTGTGTTAGGAACGTGAATTTTGATAATCCATATGTATAATTATGACATGAAATCATCTTAAAGGTAAAGACCAGTTTTGGAAACGCCTCCATTTCAAAAAATGAAATGGAAGCTCTTATTACCAATCATGTGAAAGAATATGTTTTGACTAATACGTGATGATACCAATTTTGCTGGGAAACCGCCTACTAATTGATATATTTGGTAAATTATTATATCTATCTGGACTGGATAGATATAGGGTAGTCCCATATACATATTTATGTGTACAGTGCTTGTAACTTTACCAAGACTGGGCCAAATTTCTTATCATTTTGATGATTCCAGAACCTTGCAGTACACACCAATACTTATATGCTAGATGATTAACCTTCTTCTGATCGATTCCACAGCGTTCCTTTCACAATGCAATCGCATGACCAGAACTTGTCTATACCTTTAATCATACATCACAAAGATCATTCAAAATATATGAGACAAACTTGTGTGTAACAAACACAGTGTGTAAGCAGTGTTCTGAAGAATGAGCATTATTGAGGAGAAATCACAAAATGTAGCTTTAGTTTACAAAAAAAGTTGTTTTCAACAAATCACAGTCTAATTGTGTTTTGAAGAATGACCATTATTGTTGGAAAATATTTAGACCGTAGCTTAAAATTACGAATTATGGTGCTAATCAATTTATCCAATATCTTATACAATATAGATTATACAATGTCAAGATGAAGTGACTACATGTACAATAAATATTTACAAAATTAAAAAACTTTTCAAATCATGGCCTGTGTCCTCTTTGCCTCGTTCTCCTCCTTACATGTAGATACTGAAAAATGATCCCGAGTAAAGGCTTTCTTTAATACTTTCACGGTCACCATACAACAAACATGTAAGTTTATAGATTGCTTTATTTTGTGTGTGTAAAGGACCCATTCCGGTATTCGTACTGACAGGGGTACTATGTTTAAATATAATAGTAAACAATAGGTCTAAGATAAGTGCATGTAAATCAGTAAGCGGTAAGATATATGTATGTAAATATCCGAATGGTTTTGAATAATTCTAAAAACCGGGGTGTTTTTCCCGTCTTTCAGATCATTATGGCCGTGGCTAGTAAAGCTATGAAACGGAAATTGGCGTTTTCTGGTGTTTTTGATTCGCTTTGTGTTCTAAATGTATGAAAGATTTATAGTCAATTAATTTGGTATTACTTGCACTGTATTAATCTACATCCCTGCAGAAACTTATTTCATTCAGTTGTTTATTTATTTATTCAATAACGTATTCAATTATTTAGGTGACGAACGGATAAACATTGCATTGAATGGTATACAAGTCATGAGGAAATACAAGTTTAATCTACCACTGTTGTTAGTTGGAGCAGCGTTTCACAAAACCGCCGTTAGTACAAGTTCGCTGACAACCCATTGAAACGCATGTATTTAATTCAATAAGCGCTTCAATGGGATGTCCATTAACTTGTACTTCTGACGATTCTGTCCAACGCTGCCCAGGAGGATATCGTACTGAAATGTGTCGTCTAGATAAGTAAAGAGAAACCAAAGGACAAACTTGATACTTACTAAACAATTCTGCTGGCACATGACATACTATTCAAAGTGCATTGTGGCCTACCATCATCGTTCAGAATATTGGGCAGTGGTGAATTAATAGCCTACATCATAACAGATGCTATAGATGTGCCTCTTATGGAGAACACACTCAAATCAAATCCACCTTCTCTCTTCACCTCTCCCTCTCTCTCTCTCTCTCTCTGTCTCTCTGTCTCTCTGTCTTTGTCTCCAGCTATCTCCAACTCCCCTCTGTCTCTCTCTTTCTTGTTCACATCTCTCCACTTCTTATATAATTCCTTCCCTCTCTTTCTCTCTCTCTCTCTCTTATTTTATTATCTTCTCCAATCTGAATGTATAGCTCGTTTTTCCTCCCTCTACAATATTCTCCCCACCCACTCTCTTTCTCTCCCTCTTTCCCTTCTGCCTCCTTCTCTTCCCTTTCTCTCTCTCTCTCTCTCCCATTTTACTTTCCTCTGTATCTTGCCCCTTCCATGCTCTTGCTCTCCCCTTCTCACATGCCTCTCTTCCCCTTTGTGTCCTCTTTCATTATTCATAAATTTATACAGTTTGAATAATACTTTACATTTAAATTGTGCTTAAAACTTTTATTTGATTGTCATCATTGTGTGCCTTAGAATGATACATCATAATAGATCAGTTGTTATATGTTATGAATTTATAGTCAAATATAAATTCGGATAAATAAAACTGAAATCTGAATTTCAATTTGTATTTTCAGAAAAGCTCCTGGCAATGGCCACTCTCGAAGTGACCGATGCGTACACTTTACGCAAGGTCAACGTTGAGGACGCTATCACTGACCTTCAGCTGATGAACATTGCCCAGCAGATTGGTCCTGAGTCATGGCGTCTAGTTGGACTTGAATTAGGCCTCAGGTAGGCCTATACACTCTTTTTTTTTTTTGTCTTTATGTATGCTACTAACAAAAGCGTACCTTTGGAGGGGGCGCAAGGGGGTAACTTACGGGTCAACACCTACAAATGCTACCTCTATCCCTACTCCTATAGGTGTTTGGAAGGACTCTGTGTTTTTGTGTGTCAGCTCCCCCCCCCCCCCCCCCACACACACACACATACTTTCTCTCTCTCTATCTCTCTCTGATCGAATGATGGCGTAAAAAGGGGGAAAGAAAGATAATGTAAGAGGAAAGGGGGAATAAAATATGAGAAAATTAGATGACAGCTAGTGCCCCTCCCGATCTTCTTGATACCCCATAACCACTGATAACACATTTCGTTTAACGAGTGAGACCCCCCCCCCCCTCATGATTGCAGTGCCTCCTTAATTCCCTGGACATCCATTCATCCCTTTTTTGTTGTTGATTTTAATCCTAAGCTTTAGCAAAATACAATCAATGTTCACTCAGAGTGATTATGCCTTTTCAGTATTTCACCCCATTTCCTAACACGATTAGTGAAACAAATATTTTACAAAATTGGACTTAAAAATGGATGAACTTGCTTCATGCGTTGAATCTTTTAAAAGCAATTTTCACCTTCTATCAATCATCTTTTAGTCTAAAATGGAGCCTATTCCCGGATATGTAAGTGATACTGAGCACAAACTTTTAATAATCTAGAACACAGAAAGAATACTATTGCGAAAAGACATTGACCTTATAGCATATTAAAATGTCAAATCCATTAGTAAGAAGAGGAAGTTTCTGGGACATAAATATAATATTTTAGATGAATTTTTTTTCTTTCTAATGTGTTTGATTGATTTTTAATACAGGGAGCCTGAATTAGCCCATATTGAGAGGGACCACAGATCCAACATAGCGGAAGGCACGTACAAAATGCTGATTAAGTGGCGTCGGGACCAGATGAACGCGGATGCGGCTTTCTGCAGGTTGCAGAGCGCGTTGATCAACGCTAAACTGGGCGCTGTCGCCCGTCAACTTATCAAAGGTAAGTCTAGATGAAAGAAGTGCAATGTTACGACAATTTATCCTGGAAAATACTCCCCCCTCCCCCTCCCAAAAGAAAAAGAACACCTAATTCACAACAACAATACAACTACCATCTTAAGATCAGTGACGTAGCGTTGGTTCATTAATTGGGATGATATTTGTCTTAGAAGGTGGAATTCTAGGAAAAGTCTGGAAAGAAATGGTCAAAGATCAAGGAAAATCTATTTCTCACAATGTTCTTGTATCTCCGTCCTTTCAGTCCTTTTCTATCACTTTCACCACCCCTACCCCCTCGTATCGGTGTCTTCATGTCTTCCCTTTCTTAACTCTCTTACTTTGTCGCCATGCTGTGTAGACAGGTATTCCCATGTGTCACTTTACTGAACCTCGTAATCTTTGGTCTAGTTCGTAGGCCCCTTAGGCCCAGCGCACACTACACGCCCCGACTGCGATCTCATTTTGGACAATCTTATACCTTTACAGCATTCTATTTGAAAATTCAAACATGTAAAATATTAATGATCGAAAATATGATTAATACAATTGATATTTTAGTGGATTTCAAGCTTCCTTGAAGGAGGAAAGGCTAAATCGGCTCAGAATCGTAGTGGCGTCAGACCAGTCGTACGATTGTCTACGATTTGGAGCCGATTCGACTTTTATTCCGATTAAGAAGGCTTAAAGGCTGTTGAATTATGGTTGGTAGTATTCTTATCATCATTTACAATCTCAATCAGCAAAACGTTCTTTCTTAAAGCCCCTATCACATCAACCTAGTTCTCGTTACGTTCTGGAACCGTCCTAGAAATCTTAAAACGGTTGTGGTCGCGGTAGAATGTTTAAATGATGTCTTTACTACTATCCTAGTTCTTTCGTAAACAGTCCTCAATATGTCCATCTCGTTTGTTCCCCGTCCACAGTCAGTTCATATCAAGTTCAGACCGGGTAAATTTGCCATTTCCAAGCAGTCCAAGCCAGTCAGTTTAAACCCGTTCTTTAAACGTGCTCCTGTATTGCGTGTGTCATCCTGTCCTGGCTCGAGGGCTTAATAAACCCAGTGCGTTCTTGTCATTCCCCATTTCCGTTCAACGCTTCAAGCTGTGCAGAAAAGGACAATCGAGTTGGGTTTGTTTTTCAACGGGATGAACAAGCAAACGGGCCGGGCCGAGCTACAAACTGACTTGGTCGTACTAGTGATGCTCGACCACGTTACGTTGTAACACGCTCCTAGAATGATCGAAGTTTTAAGTACGTTGTCACCCCGTCTTATTGTGGGACGGGGAATTTTTTGGACAGGATCACAGTTCTAGAGCACCCTTCCCTTTCAAACCAGTCCGAACCCGTCCTTGAAGTTCTTAAACATATCATAAACAGTTAAAACAACGTTCAGTCCGTTGGCACACAGTTTGAGCCCGCTGGCAAAATTTTCTAGACCGTGATGAAATAGTTTGGTGTGATGGGAGCCTTAGATTCCTATAACTCATGTATTAAATTGCCATTTCTTAAAGAATCGGATCACAGTCGCATCGTGTAGTGCGCAATGCGGTTTGGTCCCTACCATCGTTTCCGAGTCCTAAGGGCATTATTACCCCCACTCAATTGACTCTGAAAGACACAAAGTAAAAAGGTGTTTTTAGGGATAGTCATTTAGTCAATTAGGCAGATGAAACCCCGATGCACATCCGGCAGTGTATGTTATCCCTATTATAGGATATTATTGACCACTATTGTAGTCAGAAGACGTTTAGGAGTTAAACATTCTAATATAACCAACACCAAAGATATATGTTAGGTTTTTACACAGATCAGAAGTTGTACCTTTGATAATGTATTTCTTATTTACTCAGGTTCGGCGTATGGCATTGACTTATTGGGTGGTGGCGGTATCCTCAACACAAGTGGCTTGATGGAAGACAACTTCGATACCCGGCAACTAAGAAGGGAACTCGAGATGAAATACCACTCTCATCTCTGCACCATGCGGCTTCTACCTTGGGATGCGAGATCAAGAGTCGCCGTCGATCGTTACTTTACCGACATTGGGATCTCACTGGAAGATACCTCGGTGCGGCAACACACAAAGATTTCCTTGGACAATAATCGCCATGATATTTTTACAATCAGCGCGTCGAAGAACTTACCTACTAACCGGATCCTCCTTCAGGGAAATTCAGGATCAGGGAAATCAACGGTTGTTGCGAAGCTGGCGCTTGATTGGATTACGCGTCATCCAAAATCACCACTCAAAGATCTCCCACTTCTGTTCGTTCTCCCTTTGCATAAGTTGAACGAAACGTCGAATTTTGGTGAAGCTGTGCGAGAACATCTACTACCAGAGGACACGACGTTCACAGCAGAGGCCATCGACGCATACGTGAAAGCGAATCCAAGAGAAGCCTTGCTCGTTCTAGATGGACATGATGGGATGATGAAAAGCAAGTCGAAAGGTGATAAGGTTGGGAACCTGGTGAAGATCATTGAGAACAAACGTCTGACAGAGTGCAAGGTTCTTGTAACGTCAAAGTATTGGAGCGTGGTACAGATGAAGGAATCGGTCATTCGGCAATATACCCTTCTGGAAATGGAAGGCTTCAAGGTAGAAGATACTTTCTCCTACATACTATCTTACTTTGAAGATGACGAAGAGATGTCACAGGGTTTGATTCGTCATATTGAAGCCTGTCCAGATCTGATGGAGAGCTTATGTCCTTGTCCTCTTTCTTGTTCTATCTTATGCCATCTCTGGGAAGAAGATCTCAGCAAGGGAGGAGGGGATCGTCTGGGAACCAGCAGCCAGATGACAGATCACATCGTGCACAGTCTATGGACGCACCTGGAGGCTAAGAACAAGGATGAAGATCTTAACGATGGATTAGATCGTATAAGTCTTATCTCAGAGACCACGCACGAAAGAAGGTTATCTTTTCTCTTCCAAACGTTGAGTGTTGTCAGGAAACGGTCAACGAAAAGAGGAATTGTTGAGGGAATTCCTAGACATTCGCTAAAATCCACGATGTACCGCCTGGGTAAGGTTGCTCTGGAGAAATTAGTATCAAGGAACCCCGATGGAGAGTTAGAACAGAAGGATATAAGTTCTTGTCGCGAGTTCACAGAAATTGGTCTGGCAGCAGGAATTCTATCCCACAATCGAGGTGGAAGCAGTGGGTCCCCACTTCGGAGGGGCTCTCAGAGTGAAAGCCTTAAAGGGGTGCGATTCAGCGACAAGGGAATGATGCATAAGTGTGCAGCTGTCCACCTGGCATCTCTCTGGAAGAGAAACCATGCCAAATTCACAGAGGTTCTAAAGCACTTGAAGGACAAATTTGTCGCTGAAGAATTCGAGATCGTATTGATGCTTGCTTGCGGTGAAGATGCTAATGTGGCAAGAGAAATCCTCCAGCACCTATCTTCTGTTTCAGCTTCGCACGACCTAATGCTGAAATGCTATTTTGAGTGTCCTGAAGAAGTATCAGTAGACGAGGAAATGGCTCGAATATTTAAGGAAAAGTACCATGTGACCCTCTCCAGCCCAGGGTGCCACACACTTTCTGCGCTTAAGTATTTTCTCAAGAAATGGAGTACGGATGACTCTGCAATCAGAAAACTGTTGATATCGGCTCCTCCCTTGAGCAGCATGTGGAGCTTTGTAGAGGCCCTTGACAGAGAGCACTGCAAAAGCATTTCTACCATAAGTTTGTCTTGGTGTGACTTTGAAGAAACCGACCTCCCAGCACTGCTCTTTGCACTTGGAGATCTGCCCTCACTTTCTGAATTGACCATGCCCGGGTCAACGATTGGACCAGGTTTCATCCAGAACATTAGTTGTCTGCCACAAGGATGCTTCAAGAGCCTGGAAACCCTCGAATTGCCAATCTGCACCGCTTGCGCCGATTCGTTCTTTAGAGCAGTCTTCTGGTCCGGCCAGTTTCCAGTACTTCTGAGAGCTTTTCTCATCATCCAGGACGTTTGCTCTAATGACACTCAGCACAAGGACGATGACCAAATGGAGGAACATACCATTTCGACACAGCTTGGGGAGATATCGTTGAACTGCAGCACTCTCGCCCGCTACGGATCTCAACGCTTTGCTAAAACCCTCACCAATGCAACAAATCTGATGAGCCTGTCCCTTATCAACTGTAAGTTCCATCCTGACTTTTTGGGTCAGATCGGTGAGCTGCTGGCCCTGAGAAAAGTTGTCTTGCGCATGGAATCGTGGAAGGGACTTCACTTGGAGACTTTCCTGAAGAAGTGCCTAAGACTGAGTCACATGGAGATCAGCTTCCCATCTTCAGCTCGGCATGGGGACGTGGAGGAGACGTTAGAGGTTATCCCTCGTATCTTGCCCAGTCTACCAGGCTTGAACACCATGCACGTTTCGTTGGGTGTCGGCTGTGACTTCAGAGCCAACGATGATACCTTGAAGGCGATCTGTGAGGCTTTGAAGAGTTGCAAGGTGTTCAACAAACTGAACATCACCGGCATAAAGATGAAGTCGCAACATGGGATGGACATCATTCGTACCTGCCAAGGTACCTCCGTCCGAACCATTGCGTGAGTCTGAGAAAAAAAGCATATACACAATAAATACAACATACTATTCCACAAAGACTTGTAGGGAACCTACAGTTCATGCTCCGGCATCGATTGCTCTGGAGTCAAATTTTACACAAACCGAATTCGTAACTTCAACCCTGGGGCTAACACTGTATCTAATCCTTAACGGTAAAGCTAAGTTAAAAACCCAAATGCAACCATGGCCCTGGTCGGAGCAACAATCGCCGGGGTATGACTGTGTTAGGACATCATTTTGGTACGAGCAATCGCAGATTCAAAGACACACACATAAACCCCCCAAAAAGCAATTCCATTTTACTCGATTCTGACGGTTACAATTTTCTCCCCATGAACATATTGAAGAGGGTTTCATTCATGACAATGTTTGTAGGCTTAACACATGCACATACGAATTATTATGATGCTTAACTTTCCTTTAACCGTAAGGACTTAAGCTCATGCTTAACTTCACAGGTAAACCAGTGTTGCCGTCATAGGCGGACGAAGCGGAGGGGGTGGGGGGGGGGGTTGGGGCTCACCAATTTTCGAGCAACCATCGATTCATATTCGGGCAGCGACATGCCCGAATATCCTTAATTATTTGCAGTCTTCATATCAGCAAGGTGCCTAAAATATACTTTTTAATATCTCAGCTAGTAACTTATGATGATGAATAACATTTAATAGTAGTAAAAGTGTCAATTTTTGCTCGATCGCGATCGTTCTAGAGGATACTCAAAATCGTTATATTAGGGCAGCGTGTATTTTGATGACGAAGCAATTTCGTTACCACAATGAATTTGTTTTTCTTTTTTCACTCGCTTCGCTAGCTTGTACATTGATATCGAATGTTTTTTTGTGGGGGGGGGGGGGGAATCGCCACAATTCCTAGCTAGTCCACTGCCTCTTGAATGCAGATATCCGTATACACACTATGAAAATGAAATAATAATAATAACAATATAACACACACGAACACGAACAAACAAAAATTAAAATTACGTATTCAGCATAGAAATGTTGTTTCTTAAAATGGAGGTTTTCAAGTTAGATGGAACTGCGTCACCCTGTACTTATACATGAGTGACCGTTTTTGTGTTTCTCCTTTTTTGTCTACAGTCTAACCGCATGTTTCGGACCAGAAGAAGATTTGACGGAGCTGAGGCAACTGCGTGATGAGGTGAACAATGGCAAGAAAATGGTAGTTGAATGCTGAGCAGAGGCATCGTCAATACACCCTCTTTCAGTACACTCTTAACTGTACCTCTGTTAACAGCTTCAAGCAATAGGTACAAAAGACCCAGCTCCGTTAAAAACGTTGTTTTTACTCTCACGCAGTTATTTGTGCCTCTTATCAGACAGTGTACATACATCTGAAATGCACCTCAACAGTATAACAATACACCTGAACATGGCCTGTACTGCAATTGGAGAAGAAGACACCGCTCTTAAACCTTTAAACCCGTTAAACCTTGGCCGAAGGGTTGTGGGGTTGGAAACTCTTTGAGATAATTCCCTGGTAAATATTTGTATATATTTTAATTTATAGATGAAAATTACTTCAGATAAAGTAGTTTCATGCCGAAGACCTTGTTTTCCTTTCTGTTTTCTGCAAGGTTGTTAAATAAACAACTCACCATCCAACGAAAAAGGGAGAAAAATAAACAAATTTTAGAGGCCCACTTAATTTTGTTAAAGAACAAGAATTTTCATTTGTATTGAGTGGCCCAAACAGTGGTTTGGAGGTGTTTCATCATTGTTTAACCTTTATTTGCAAATCATCACTAACAGTAAAGAAAAATTATCAATCGGATTCGATCAATGAATTTAGAACCTAAACTACTATTATATCATATTTTGTGGAGTTTCATTAGGCTACCAAGAAGATATCAAAAATAAGTGAGAAAAACATGCATAGTCAATGGCGTATCTAAGGGGGGAGGGTTGTAGGAGGCATGTGTACCGAGCGGCATTTGAGGGTATGCAAAAATTGCAGAGAGGGCAGCAGCCCCCCTTCCCCACCATCATTACTTCAGTCCAGGTCATCCGACGGAAACCTCACCCCAATAAATAACTTTACTCATTCTGAGTAATTTGTGAGATATATTATATTCTTGGCCATCAATTTACCAGATTCCCCACCAAAGTGTGTGAGACATAAAGCAAGACAAATTTACAGTTTCCCAGCACGACATTGGCATCGCCATTTTATTGATAAGGTGACGTCTTATCGTTTATCAAGTAAATGTATTCAAATGTATGAATGCTTCCTGAATGTGTGTGTGTGGTGATGAAGCATTTCGATCACCAGGTATTACTCTTCGTACTGTCCATCATTGCCAGAACCCAAATTGCATAAATAAGTTGGTGCTCTTCTGGGTTGAAGGTTTCTCATGAATGAAATAAATTTGTCAACAGCTATATTTGAGTATTTTAGTTACAATTGTTCCCCTGTTATATATTTTTCACCAGATATAATTTCTATCTTCTCAGCTATGATTTTTCCTCATCGAAAAGTAAAGGGTTTGATATTAATTTAAAAGTCATTTCAACTAAAGCTTGGTGCACGATACATATACAACTTCACCTAGTACGTCACATTTTCGAGAAAATGACTGCGCCCATCATGCTAAAAGGCATCACATTATGCCAAAAATATCTTCATTTATATATCTCTTATACATTTTCGTAAGGAATATTGCACATCAAAGGGCAGGAATACATCTCATTTTCCAGAATACCTACACTTATTCTTTGGGTTGAGGTTTCCAAAAACTCCATTGGCTGCCGTCATCAACCCACGGCGACATTAAATAACACAGAAAAGGAGAACAAAAGAAAGAGACTAGAGAGAGAGAGAGAGAGATAGAGAGAAAGAGAAAGAGAGAGAGAGAGAGAGAGAGAGAGAGAAAGAGAGAAAGAGAGAGGGGGTATGAAAGGTGAGGGTATTCAACTGATCGTGAGAAACCAATGATGACGTAAGCAGAACCTCTACTTGAATGTGTGTATTGACGCAGAATGAATTGTTCTACGTGTGACATATTTTGTTCTTGTTTGTTTATCAACGTAACCTTTGATGACACAATGCACCTTTTATCGAAGGATAATACGGGACAAACGTTGAGAAATTCGAATCTTGTAATCCCTCGTAAAAATAAGGCTAACAAAATTGCTTCAATAGAGGTCAATTAAAAGGAAATTAAAGAAACAGAGCTCAAAGTCGGAACGACTATTTTATTAACGTAGGCCCTAAACCTGGCACAAAAAAAAAACTTAAGAGAATGACTTATTGTATAATACAGCACCAGATGTGTTGCATTGTCATTTCAAATTTGTTACGATGACAGTTGATGACGTATCACGTGGATTGAGTAAATTATCAAATGATATTGCCATGGGAAATGACTTGCCTCCAAGTAAACTGATTCATCTAGGAGCTCAATATTTAGTGCAACCATCAACGCATATAATCAATAACTCTATTACTTCAGGGATTGTTCCTGATCAATGAAAGATTGCACGCGTAGTTGCTTAACATAAAAGGGGTTCGAGAGAGGCAGGTATTTACAGGCCAATCTCGGTTCTACCAATTTTAGCAAAAATATTAGAAAGAATTATTTTGTTATCAAATATATACCAGAATTGTCTTATGGTTAAGTATCAATCTAGATTTAGGCCCCTACACTCTACAACCACATGCAGCCTTATTGAATGTCACAGGTGATTGGCTCAAGGGTATCAATGATGGAAACGTAGTAATAGTAATGCTTGACTTTATAAAAACATTCGATACGGTAAATTATGAAACGGTAGAGTTATCTTAAAAACCCAAATGCAACCATGGCCCTGATCAGAGCAGCAATCGCCGGAGTATGACTGTGTTAAGTCATCATTTTTTCGGTATGAAATGAAATATACTTCGTTGGTTTGAAAGTTACATAAGTAATAGAACACAAGCGACATGTGTTAAAGGTAATACAAAGTTTTGGTATGGGGTCATGAATGTGGTTCAAATGAACATATTGGACGCATATGCGTTCTTACAAAATTCAGTGATCGTTGTCGCGGTTGAAATCGAGTCTAAAGTTATGAAATTGTAAACAATAAACTCTTTATGTTGTATAGCTCCCTCTCAAGGTCAAGATATAAATTAAGCTATAAAACAATGTTTCTTAACTAATATCTACCGATTAGTTGTTCCCGTTCGGAAATTTTATATCACAACTACATATTCTGATATTTTCATGGTCGCAGCTACTATTGTACGGCTGTAGGCGCTATATGAAATTTATCAAAATTTACCGGGAGCACCGGTAAAGTTGCATATTCAATTTTTCTCGAAAGCAGATGTAGTTTAGAGGCTAAATTTTCTAGTGCTTATAATACATCCACAGGGGCATCCAAATTTAAAAAAATTGTAAAGAATCACTATCCACTCAATTTTCAAAATTTCCCAAAACTTTGTATTACCTTTAATGGTACTTTGTCTGACTTTTTCCATTGAAATATGGGGTACCCCAGGGGTCAATCATGGGGCCTCTCCTTTTTATATTAGTTTACCCAAAGGACTTTTTGTGTAAAGTAAGTATGCATGCTTACGACACAATGCTTTACTTGTATGGAAAATATATATTTACGCAAATACAACAAATTAATGTAAACCTTGAATATGTTAGGACATGGCTGATCACAAATAAATTAAGTTTAAATGTAAACAAAACCGAATTTATTGTGATTGGTACAATGCAACGATTTGACTGAATTAATGATATAGATGTTGATTTTTATATATCTTTATTCCATTGAAGATAGTACTCATGTGTAAACATCTTGGAGTGATGATTGATGAAAATGTCTCTTGGCATGATCAAATCAATGCTACCCCCCCAAAAAAAAAAAAAAAAAAAATTGCATATGGTCACAATTTTCAAGAAACTAGTGAATATAGAGACGTTGATAATGGTCTACAATTCATTAGTGTTATCACACCTAAATTATTGTGATATTGTTTGTGGAAATTGTGGAAAAAACATTTGTAGACACACTTCAAAAAATTCAAAACCAAGGGGCCCGCCTCATCAATAATGCACCTTGGTTCTCATCAGGAAAAGAAACTATACAACTTTTGATATTTTAGAACCACTTGCACAGAAGAGAATGTATGATACTGCAATCATGATGTATAATATCATGACAAAACAAGTACTGTCTTATTTAAGTGACACATTTTCACAATGAAAACATGTATATGATACACGACAAAGTAATCTTTGTGTTCACATTAGCCGTCCGAAAACTGAGTCTGGAAAAATACATTTTGTATAAAGTTACAGCGTTTGTTGGTATGACATACATACACGAATATCATTATAAAAACGTAAATGGTGGCATTTTGAGTAGGCTATGTCAAATAATGCAGAGTTCTAATATTTAGGAGCATCAACAATTTATTGTTTTCTATTTTCTTCTCTCTCTCTCTCTTTCTCTCTCGCTCTCTCCCCTCTCGCTCTTTCTTTCATATATCTCTTGTTATAAGTTTTGTAGAAGTACATGCATCTATTTCACTTTCAAAATAATATATTTTTGTACACATTATGGTCACGGGATGACAAGATTTACTCATTTTGAGTTCTAATTGGTATGAGCATTTTCTTCTAATTTCCATTTTTACTCTGTCTATTACAGTAATTTCTAGTTTTATTATCATCTGATCACAGTTGATTATATTTGATATGCTGTTTGTTTTGTTGTTTAATTATTGATATGTTTTGTTTTAAACCCGATATTTCATATTCGATATATTTCCGGTCTAATTATTAAGGTGTACTATATTTGCCGCACATTTATCATACCACAGATTGTGCACATTCTATATTTTGTATATATTATACGAAAAGAGTATTTTAATCTTATTCATTAATTAATATACATATAGCGTAAACTTGTATAACTTTCATATTTATTTACCTATGGTTGTCTTTTAATATGTGTATGTATATTTTAGCATTTGTTGTTAGTTGTTGTTAAATGTAATGGGCGGCCCCATTGCAAACCAGCCAAGTAGCTGAACTGGGCTTTTACCGTGCTTAAACAAATGAATAAAATCAAATAAATCAATCACCAAGGGGAACAAAGTATGAGTCTAGTCGTGTTTTTGTTAGTAGAAGTAGAAGTTATGGTAGTAGCTGTAGTAGTAGAAGTAATAGTAGTAGTAGAAGAAGTAGAAGTAGTAGCAGTAATAGAAGTATAATAAGTAATAGTAGTAGTAGTAGTAGTAGTAGTAGTAGTAGAAGTAGTATAAGTAGTATTTGTAGTAGTAGTAGTGGTAGTGGTAGTGGTAGAAGTAGTAGAAGTTGTAGTAGTAGTAGTAGTAGTAGTAGTAAAATAAGTAATAGTAGTAGTAGTAGTAGTAGTAGTAGAAGTAGTAGAAGTAGTATTTGTAGTAGTAGTAGTGGTAGTGGTAGTAGTAGAAGAAGTAGTAGTAGTAGTAGTAATAGTAGTAGAAGTAGTAGTAGTAGTAGTAGTAGTAGTAGTAGTAGTAGTAGTAAAAGTAGTAGAAGTAGAAGCAGAAGTGGTGGTAGTAGTAGTAGAAGTAGTAGAAGAAGTAGTAGTAGTAGTAGTAGTAGTAGTAGTAGAAGAAGTAGTAGTAGTAATAGTAGTAGTAGTAGTAGTAGTAGTAGTAGTAGTAGAAGTAGTAGTAGTAGTAGAAGAAGAAGTAGTAGTAGTAGTAGTAGTAGTAGTAGTAGTAGGAGGAGTAGTAGTAGTAGGAGTAGTAGTAGTAGTAGTAGAAGTAGTAGTAGTAGTAGTAGTAATAGCTGTAGTAGTAGTAATAGAAGTAGTAGAAGTAGTATTAGTAGTAGTAGTAGTAGTAGTAGTAGTAGTAGTAGTAGTGGAGGTAGTAGTAGTAGTAGTAGTAGTATTAGTAGTAGTACTAGTAGTAGTAGTAGTAGTAGTAGTAGTAGTAGTAGTAGTAGCAGTAGTAGTTTTAGTAGTAGTAGTAATAGTAGCAGTAGTAGTAGTAGTAGTAGTAGTAGTAGTAGTAGTAGTAGTAGTTGTAGTATTAGTTACCCCCTTTCCCCTTTACCCTGCATCTCTCTGTTTCTCTCTCTCTTTGTCTCTTTCTCTGTCTCTCTCTCCCTCTCTCTCTCTCTCTCTCTCTCTCTCTCTCTCTCTTTGTCTCTCTCTCTTCATTTGTTTAATCCTCAACACCTTCCTGAATCAACACCTGTGAAAAACACGACCATCTGCCATCAAACCCTGATATATAACACCAGGATCCATTGTCTCTGATTTCCTTCTTGACACTAAACAACAAAAAGGGGCAGATACACAGATCGATTTTTTTTTCCCCCCTTCAAAACTCAATTACACCGTTCCGATTGCGATCAGGCGTTTTGACGCGTGGCAAAGTTTGCTCAGTGTTGAAGCAATTAGATGGCATCAATCTAGTTTTGTCAAAAAGAAACAATTAAATAGCATGGTCAGGGAGTCTGTCCCAAAATAAGCACCCCATTAAGCGCATAACATTAATGCAATGAAATGAAATAAAATAATAATAATAATGAATAATTAAACGTTTTTGTACAGCACATAACAAAAAGGCATACTTGGATATCTCTATGAGCTATATACAAAATAAAATACAAAGGAGTGTAAATGGTGCACTGGGTTCATAATTGTGAGAACTTACTAAGTGCTAAATAGAAAGTTTTTCAAATTAATTCTAAACTTTTCATATGTTTCTATATTTCTAAAATAATCCGTGATTAATTCCATGATTCCATGAAACAGTGGGTATGTGTGAAGATGAGCTTTTTCCTAATAAGCGGAGGGCCAAAGTCAAATATCCTGGTTATTTTTTGAGTTGAGTTATTTTTTGCCATTGTTAC